AAATTAAATATATTTCAGAACAATCATTTGGGGCAATAACGATTTCTGAATGTGACTACAGGGAGCTAAATGTGACCACTCAAAATGCATTTAACTATTCAATCAAAAAATCATTACATATCCACTCTTGCGAAATTTGCGTACATTTCTCAGAAGAATGCAATTTGCTTAACAATTCTAACTTGTTAACGCATTTTAAAGCATACGACTCTGAAGAAAAGGTGTTTTGCAATTTAAAATCTCCCAGCGAAAAATTTCTCTTTTTATTTTCAAATTAGAAAAAATATTTATATCTCTATTTGATAGTTTGTCAACTAAGCCTGGAATTTCCAACGCATACCTTTTTGAGATGAGCAAAATAGAATTTGGTCATCCCTGCTAACAATTTGCGAAAATGTACACCGTTAAATTATTTATAAGACTCAGAATTTTTTATACTCTTAAATATGCAAACAGAGATTTGAAATCCTCGAAAAAGTCAGATAAAACCAAAAGAAAAATTAAAATTTTGTCCCATCTCTATTTTCTGATGTACAACATCTACAAATTTATATCCCGTCATAATAAATTTCACACATTCACAAGTTCGGCGATATTTTGTAACCTAGGAGGTCGGACTAAAAGTTCTACAGTCGCAAGCTCTGCTGAAACTGGAGCCAACGCAATCGATCGTACTATTTCTTCCGCTGGATCTAGGAAGAAAGTGGTGGGAGCTCTAGACTATTGCCACCACAAAGCATGTATCTTCTAGAGACCCCACGCCAATGTTAAACTTTTAAACCAAATTAGCGCCACCTTGTGTTTGGAGCTGGAACTAAAATGACAATTGACAGATGGCGGTAAATTCAAATTGTAATTTTTAGGAGTAGGTAGTAGTTTTAAATTAAATTTTAAATGATTTCCACATAAATTATTTTATAAAATAAAGTATGGAACTAGTAAGTTCGAAACATTTATTTTACAAAATAATTTAGATCGATTATACCAAATTTGAAGAATTAATTTGTTATAAGGGGTCTAATGTGGAGAGTTGGTTCTGCATATTTTTATTAAGTAAATATAAGATATATCAATAAATAATAAAATAGAACATTCTTAAAATATGTTTTTTAATAACTTAAATAAATATTATTAGATAAAAATGAATACAAATAATAATACATATTTGGAGCAAATAGATATATAATCTCAAATCTTTAAAATACCTATCAATAATTTAAATGTGAAGTAGAGACTAGGATATTACATTTTATTAACACTAAAGTTATATATTTTATAAATGTCTTTTTAACTGAGGACAAATGTAATATAGGTATTGTATTAAAAGGTGAATCCTTTTAACTATTCATTCAATGATAAATAGGTATTTTCCTTCCAAATACAGATGGTGGCATGGAGGAAGGATTATTGATGGTGGTATTACTCTCTTATGTGAAAAATGATTTCGGAATCTAGTCCAGTGATAAATTGATTATCAATTAGTTGTTGTCCCCGTTTGTCTTTTTATGATGCAGATGCATGGTGAATATATGGTGAATCAATGAAGTTTTTCTGGAAGTTTTCAACGTAGCACCAAAATTATTGCAAAACACAGTAGGAAATAAAAAAGCGAAACATCACAATTTTGCAAATAACTAAGACGAAACTATAAACAGAAACCAAAAGCTAAAGCCAACAAAAAATCACTAAAATCAGACGGAAAAATGAAACTAACCAAGAACATAAATACATACACGTCACATCTTTGGAGTCTTTGGTTAAGTTTTTCTCCCATAAGGCTTAAAAATGGAGTAAGAAATCATAATTTCACCAGTAGCCCCATCTAGAGTTTGGAGCAAATAGCACAAAAAATGTCAGTTGTCGGTTTTTACCTTGGTCATTCACGTGGAACCTCTATGTGCTTTGTGATTGCCACCGCGTACATTCGTATCTGGTGTAGGATAATCTGGGACAGCGCCCTGCTTCTGACTTATAATCCATCACATGTGTTCATCTTTTGCTAAGCGATATTGTCGTTGTCCTTGTTTTTCGCATCGTAATGAGAGAGAAAACAACATAGGCACACATTTACTGTGCCCTGTGCCCATCTTTGGAACGTCGCTCAGTGTCGTGCCAACGCGGTTTGCGGTGAATATTAGATAAAATAATAATAGGCATTGAGGAAAATATAAAATGTGTAAGTTATTTTTTTTTGTTTATTATACTAGGGCACGTGCCCAAGTGCCCTTACGGACAAACCGCCACTGTTGAGTGATTGTTTAAAATGTCTGCAATCTTCTTCAATACACTTGGCGATTCTGATATTCAGATTTCTTATGCTATTGCTTATTTCTTCTTCTTGGATTCTTCCAATTATTTTTTCCTAATTAATCACTTTATGTTCGAAGTATTAAACACTGATTATAAAATCAATACAGATCCGTACCAATAAAATTTGGATTACGGTCCATATTAACCAAAAACCGGGCCTGCTATTTTTGATTAATTTTCACCGCTAGAGTAGGCTTTGAGAATCGCAACTTTTTCTCCATTTAACCGAATTTCTAACTAGTATGGTTTGGGAATTACTAATACAATCCCATTAAAAAAGTGGCCACCCTACCCTGTATACAAATTAGTAATCATAACTACACAGATATTATGAAATCACTGAATATTGACCTGCTAAGCAAAAGGCGGGAAGATTAGGTTTTAATATTTGTTTTTAAGATGTTCAATGGTTTAGTAAGTTGTACTGAGCTTTTTAAGAGTATACGCTTATATATGCCAACTAGAAATCTCCGATACTCTGAACTGTTTCACATTCCATTTCATTGCACAAATTATGGTATGCAGTCTCCAGTTGAACGTACTCTGAGAATATAGACATATTTGGTATATCACGTCGTACATTCAAAAAACGTGTAAAGAGAGCCTAACTTGATTAATACTCTCGCAAATTTAGTTTTTAAACTTGTATACATATTTTAGGGTATATTTATATTTTTTTTTAATTTACATTTTCTTTTTGTAAAAGACACTTTTATATATTGTATATTTTTGTAATGGGGGTGAACCCGTAAATAAATAAATAAATAAAAGTTAAAAGAGTACTATCAACAAGATGATAGCTGAATTAGTTCAATTTGTGCTGGATTAACTGTGACGTCACTCGGTGGATACTATTAAGGCATTTCTTTATAAGTTACTAACTACAACATACTTTATTGCAGTATTGTGGTTACTGTGGTGATGTCACACATACCGTGGTAACCTTTTATATAATGTCATATGTCAAATTTAAGTTTGGGGATTTCTAAACGGAATTTGAGGTCAAATTTTGTTTAGCCGAAATCAGTTACTTAAAAATTGTTGCCATGGCAACCGTTGACATAGTAACCAGTAAATGCAAACTCAAATCTCGTGGTGAGGAAATGCATAGTTGCCAAGTGATAGATCATTTAATGTTCACTTTATTTTAGAAGAAATCAGTTATGGTGAAACTGTTGCCTTGGGAATTTTTGACATAGTAATGACTAAACAAAAAACCAAATCCCGTGGTGAGGAAATGCGTGGTTGTCAAGTTACAGATGACTTAATTTAGCTGTAATCAGTTACAAAGAAAATAAATATTGCCATAGAGACACTTGTTATGGTAACAACTAAACAAAAACCCAATTCCCGTGGTAAGGAAATGCATAGTTGGAAAATTACAGGTCATTAAATTTTTGACTCTAGTGTAACTGAAGTCGGTTACGGAGAAACCGTTGACATTGGAACACTTGTCGTGATGTCGACTAAACAAAAACCTTAATCCGGTGGTGAGGAAATGCTCAGTTACCTCTTATATTGAGATTAACCGTTAACATAATATCTGTATCTAAACTAAAGTGAAAATAACACCATCTTGGCAACTAGGCATTTTCTCACTACGAGATTTGTTTAGCCGTAAGCATGACAAGCGGTTCCATGGTAACAGTCAAGAAAGCGCGCCTGGCCGACGTGCCTTTCTTTCACCCACATTATAAGATCACGCTACGCTCCTCCCACCCACCTCCTAACTAGTACATAGGAGGGCAAGTGAAGTAAGCGCGCCCGGCCGACGTTTTGAACTTCGCGCGAATTTGATTCATTTCATATAATAAAATTGTTTTGCAAACCTATCGGGAATCTAAAAATTAGTATGTTATGTTACTTTTTGTACACTGTATATAAATTTCGACTTATACCTTATAAGTATTCACCGAGTGACTTCACAGTTAACCCAACACAAATTGAACTAATTCAACTAAGCTTTTGTTGATAGTATCCTTTAAATTTGGCTAGCTGGTGCCATTTTGTCATCCAAATAAATTCACTTGTTTTAAACTTTTAGATAATACAAAGTAATAATAAATTATGTTTAAAAGTTTTCGAAAAGTACTTTATTTATTACTATATAGATGATGTAATATTAATATTTAATTATTATGTACTACAACAATTCAATCAAGATGGATAAATAAATCGTCAGATGTGATTGGAAATAAATTGAATCTATCAGCGGAACAGTGGCCTAAGCCCGAAACAATGCTTTTGAGATAATGGAAAAACAAATTTAAGGTTAATTTTGACATTAATTATTCAAAAAGATCAATGCAAATAAACGAAGTATTTTTAAGATTTATATTATGTTAGGTAAGTTTTATGTGTTCAGCCTATAAGTGAACATTTTTAATTGTTTTTTTTTAGGCAAAAAATGTGGGTTAGGCCACTGTTCCTCTATTAAGTTTTGATATTGTGTGAGATAGCTTGATTTATGGATCAAAAACAAAACAAAGTAAGAATTTTTTAATAGAAATTAACATCGAAACGTAGGCAAAAAAATGAGTAAATTTAAATAAATACACTTTTGTTGGAGCCAAAAATCTCCCATATTAGTCTTGGCCAGTTTCTTCTCTATTTTCTTCTTCTTCGTCCTCCTCTTCTTCTAAAAAATTTCTTCTGAGGGATTTTCCGATGTTTTCAAACTTCTATAAAAGTTATGATGAACAGGAGGTATGAAAGGAATTAACTCTAGAAGGTCCTTCTTTTTTTTTATTGTCAATGTTGTGACCTTTGGGGTACAAGGTATTGAGCTCAATATTTTCAAATGCTTGTACGGATCTTCTTTTTTCAATATTGAATGAATCAAATAGTAAATCTTCATTGTTAGAGTACTTGTAGTGTATACAAAATGGAGTTGATTTTTGATGAAGTAGCCACTGTATCTTTAGCCACTCTACTTTTGACTTAGTTGCAGATATTTTTCTATTCTTTAAATTTTGTTCCATCTTTGCCGTAGAATAAAAGTCACCTGAAGACATTTTTGTTACTTTTTCCTGGCTGATTCAATAACTTTCCTTCAATCATCTGGAACAAAAATGTCTCTACAGAACTTTTTTTGTTTTTCCACTAAACCTAAATCTTGGTCACAAGGCAAGAAGGAGTGCCTACTAACTAAAAACTTGTGATTGATTTCGTTAACGGTACTTAGTTCTGAAGATACAATGTAGTTGCATAAAGCTGTCATCTTGATATTTCGGTTCTGTCCGCCGCATTGATCCGAAAACATAACTAATTTTTCAGTTCTGACATAGTTTTTAATGTAATGAAAAATGCATGAGCCTATTTCTTGGCCATTTGGAAGCAACTGATTTATCCCATATGTACATAAATACTTCATTTGTACCTAAATTATATATACCTAGACAGTATGTCCAAAGTTGTCGTTTATAATAACAAATTCCCGTGGATATTACTGTTGGCAGAGATTTGCTTTTGCAATATCTCCATCACTGCTATCTCTAGCACTGGCTGCTTGATTGTGATGCAAATTTCGTCTAATTTCATACTGTCGTTTTTCTGTATCATCTGTTGAAAACTTTATTTTGTTTTCAAACAAATCGCACTTTTTGGACGAATCTTTTATTGGAGCATGAAAATGAAGGCTAAATTTTGTTAAAAATACTTCTCTGAAGATAAACATGGAGACAGGAACCCGTTTTCAAGCTCCGTTTCTTTTTTATAAAGTTTATAAAGTTTTCCAAGACTTAAAGCTGGCGCTAAAAACTTTCTATGTGAATTATTACGTCGAATGTAATGAGACTCATATGCCGGGAATTTTTCAATAAATTGTTTAACTTTATTGATCTTTTCATCCGGAGTTTTGTTTATAGCTGGTCCCTTGCCCCTTCTATCTACTGGTGCAGCTAGTCCTTCTTTCTTATTGGCTAATACCCGATTAATTCTGCCGTCGGAAATTTGAAGCACTTTCTTGAAAAAGTCCTTACAGACCTTTATTTTCTCACCACCTTCATTATGTAAAAAATAAATACGAGTTTTTTCACGTCTAGAAGCTTCGGGCCTTTCGGTATACGTTCTGAGTTTATTAACAACTTCAACAAGAACAAAAATATAGGCGATTTTAGATCAAATGTTTCAATGGCATAAAATAACGCAAAAATTGCTTGTTGTCGTTGTGGATGAATTTTGTCCCAACAATTATTTTTGCAACAATTTTTTATTTCTTGAAAAGTTTATGGCCGGAACAACTCTTTCACATCTATTTATATATTCTTCGCCAGCATTTCGTTTCCTTTGCCACATTGCGTTTCCATGTATATTCATTCACTTCTTACTCGTTTTTTACTTTTACCTTCTAATTCAGCTTTACTGTCAGACCTTGTCCAGTAATGTTGTTGTTCAAGCATGCCATTTCCCGATTCAGATGGTACGTACTCCGATCCAGAATCTTGAAAAGGCTCTTCGTCGCTAGATTCAAAACCTAAAAATAAACAATAATTTTTAGAAACCACTAAAATGTAAAACACTGCTGCCCCCCTTTAATTTCACAGAATTATATCTTCAAATTACCTACTAAATGACACTTCTCCTCAAAATATACTTACATTTCTCACAAAATACATTTTAAATCTAACCTAACATAACCTAACCTCAAAAGCACCTTCTGATAAGTTATAGCGAATGTGATATCAATGAATACAAAACTTAGTTACCTACTTACCATCAATTACGAAAATTGACCCAGTCATATCCACTCCAAAGTTATTTTCTTAACCATAAACTATTAAAAAACAGTATATTTTCGGGTTTCTGCTCCCACAGGTGGTTTTTGTTTTCGCAATAACAAGAAAAGCAACAGTGGCCTAACCCACACAATATGGGGATAGGCCAGTGTTGCATTTATTTATGAAGCATATCAGTAAATGCAAAAAGTAACTATGGTGCTGCCATCTAGTAACGAGTAGAAAAAGGTGGCCTGGGTCACTGTAGCACTTAAGTTAACTATGTTTGGAATATAAATAGACATCAAACCGATAATATCGATTTTCTGGGTTAAGCCACTATTGCGCTCATAGACTCAATTGTAGAAGTGCTTTTTAAAGGGTATGGAAATGTTATGTCAAAAATAATGTATTTTTTTTTTAATTTCATTTTCGTTGATTTCAATTAGACACTTGGCAACACCGCGCCTATTTCAATTTACTGCATGACAGATATAATTTTAAATTCTAATAAATAAATACATAAATGATCAATTTAATAATCTTCATATGTCTTTAATATGTAATTTTTTTAAAAAACCTTAATTTATGGGGTTTCTGGTTATATATTTGAAAAATACTCTCATTCCTAAAGTCTAAAATGTAAGTTTTGTAAAAAAAATTGTATTTTTAAGAAAGGGCGTCTTCGCCATATTTACCAAAATCCTACTTGCATGAACGGTGCAAAATTGGTATTATTAATGGAAAAATATTAACTTGGGACCAAGGTCAGGAAAAGGGTTAATCAAGGTATATATAAAATTTCATCTTTCAGGAAACGCTTAGTACTGAATATGAGCAATGACAAGTAAGGTATCGATACTGTTCCAAAGTACTTTCAAATATAAATGATTTATTTTATTTATTTAAATTAAATTTAAGAAAAATGGATGTTTACAAATGTTTTGAAAAATTATAAATTAAGTTAGGCACCGAGGTGTAAGCACCTGTATGTGCAGAAAGTAATGGTAGTAAAATTATAAATTATACATGTTTTATCAGTGCTTCAGTATGCTAATATACTAATATAAAATTAAAGTTGCATTCATAATAGAAATAACGGGTGCTTGTCGAACTAATAAGATGAATTTCATGAAAATTAGTGATATACAAGACCTTGGATCAACTTTTTTAGTAAGCATCAGACGATAATAATAATTATAATATTAATAATAATAATAAGAATACTCTCCCTAATTCACCCCCTTACGAGTGAATTTTAACCCCAAAAGCTGAGCTTGTGCGGGGAAAGGGACGGCTATTATTATTATTATTATTATTTGCCGTGGCGCTCCGGGACGACTTAAAGATGATTGATGGTGCCATTTGATTTACAGGTGAGGAAAACCCGGAAAATCTCACCCACCATCATCGAGACGGTAATGCATGGCAATTTTATAATCTGCATGTCATATCAACAGAAATTGAATTTCTATTAATACGGCACACATCAAATCCTAAACCGAACCATGCAACTTAATTAAAAATCCACATGGTCAGGTCTGGTATTCGAAGCCCAGCAGTCTCTAACTCATAAACTTGCCTATAAATGAATATAAGCGCGTTAGACCGCTACACCACCAACCTGATAAAAATCTATTGATTAAGGTTTTTCTCCATATATTACAATTAGATATTTATTTTTGAAATTCTTTCTAATAAACATAATGGAAGCTGAAAATTAGTGATTTACAAGACCGTTTAGCTATTTAGGAAATGTTCCCAAAACCAAGACAAAAACAACTCGAATATTTTTAATTACCGATAATTTATAAAAAAAAATACATTAGTTGTCGTCCAACACTACTATTTTTAAACTATGAGAACGATAAATGCACTGCCCAAAGAATTGGTATTAATAAATTTATCAAAATAAAAATTTTTTATACGTAGGTAGGCTTAAGCAACAATGGGTGCAAATATTTTTACATGAACGGATCTAAGAGAGTAAAGGGATCATATAATTTTACATGGACATATTTAAAAGAAACCAAATATTTTTAGATAAATAGGCGAAGTAAGAAGCCCAAATATTTTACATAAGCAGGCTTAAGAGGTAAAGGGGCCAACTTACTATTGGATAAATTGCTCGAACAAGTTTGTAAATCCTAATCAAAAGGCGATAAAGAATGGTGTCACATTGCACTCATTCCAGTAAATTAACTCAAAGCAGTCTGTAGCATTGAAATTAATTTTTGGTACCACAAAGTGTCTTACTTCAACGGTTTCTCGACTTTCTCTAGCTTTTAAGATTCTTCGTAGAGATAGTACCCGAACTTATTCATGAGTGTCTGTTAATATACACAAATGAACCATAGAGCTGAAGAAGATGATTTTTCATTGTGAGCCATCAAGAGTGGGCTAATTTCCCACGAATACGGTTTGCAAATTTGATGAGAGATTGTCGCTTGATATTGCATTGGAACTGTCATATAAATATGATTTATCAGAACTTAATTCTCTAGATATTACAGTTATATTTGGCAACTCACATTTTAGTGGGGTAAAATTTACAATTTTAATGGCCGGTTTCTGAAACAGTAGATATGTGTTTGATAGGCTTAACAAAGGGATAACTGGATGAATTTGGTTTCTGAAACGTAAAACAAGAGTTATCCGTTCTATAAATTATCGAATTGATATCTTGTCATTTTGGTGAGATATGTATTCGATAAGTATCTGACACATGCCAATTAGCAAATCATAATTTGACATTTCTTATTGTTTCTCAAATATTAGGAAAAGAATAAATAAACTTAAAATATTTAATCTCCTCGAATTCTTCATATGAAATAATCCGTTTGAAGAATAGTATAGTGACAATGAATTTAGGGACCGTTTTAGATTTACTAAAAATACATGGTTAAACTAATTAACATATCATAGGATGATTTTCTCTTTTACACTTATACCAACGGTATTTTTATTTTCAATGACATTTGTGGTCGATAACCATTCGAATAACATATAATAATATTTATCAACATCTGTAAAGTTTTTAGAACTTTTAGAAAATTCGCCATTTTCCGATATAAACAATTGCCATACGACGTTAAATTGTCAAAGTCCATCTAGTGAGAGTATGTCAAACCTAGTTATATGATGGATTACTATCAAGCGATAGTTATCTATAGATAAGTGCTCAGAAATGCTTTATTATTTATTAGGCACATAACTTTATCGGACCGATAGTTATTCTTTTAATAACGAAATGTACCGGAAACCGACCATTAGGCATTCAAATTTTTCTAAAGCCTTCCCGATTTCACCAGAATATTAAAACGTAGCCGCGTGATGCATAGCGGAGCACGGCCATCTGTCGGAAACGGTAACGAACTTTTCGCTCAAAATGCACACAAGAATTTTTCCACGATTATATTATTTTAAGAAGTAGATATAAAAACAAAAAATTTGGCGTAAGTAGTGTATAATGTGTTACCTATATCTATCAATGTCAACTTGGATAATAAAACAAAAAAATATCAAACTACGTAGGTTCAATTAACTTGAAAATCATTTATTAAAAGACATTATATTATATTTAATTTAAATTAGGCGAGCAACAAAGCTGTCAAGTTTTCCGCTCGACGAGCGACAAAGCTGTCACCCAATGTCAGTT